TTTTCCTCCATTTTATGTGCGTCTTATAATATACTTGTATCGAGATGATGAATTTCTCCGTTAAAATAGTCACTTTATAGTTTATATAAAGGAAAATATGGTTAAATAATGATTACAGCATTACAGTTATACAAACAACTAATTTATTATTATTCACGACAGAATTTAATTGTAATACATTTTACGTGACAGTGTGATGTTTCGTAACGGTTGAAACTCAAAAATTATTTCACAGAATTACAAATTACATTTTATTGCACACTTTACTAATAATAAACAACTTTGTGTGACACAATAAAAAGGATGTGGATGTGCAATGTGGTGTTTATGACGTGTAGTATATATTATATTATTATACATTTTTAGGAAAATAGAATTACCTTGGCCATAAGCAATAATAACCACAAGACAGTTATTATTTGCGCATGAGTTTGTCTGAGCCGTATTTGTTTCGAAACTTTAAGATGAATTTAATAAAAGTCAGTGATGATTTCCTGGAGAGCCCGCAAAGTGGGATATCGTTTACACAACGCTATTGCAGGATCCGACCGATATGGCATATTCAGTTTTGAAGTGAGTACATGTGGACGAATTATTATTTTAATTGTTTTTCCCCGGCAGAACGTACCTATAGGTACAATAACGAACTCTATTAAATGATTATATTATTATCGCGTAACTGCAGGTCGACCGGTATTATTGGCATCACCCAGCTGACTATAGGCGCATCCGAGGAGATCGTTTATCCTCTCAGGCTTCGAATTACTTATGCAACGCGAGTTTTTAATAAGCCTAAAACCCCGCGGGGGTGGTCGCTTGGGGATACGCGGCGGCGGTTTCGGCGACCAGAACCGGTGAGGTTTTAAATTTTAAACGCGCCCCGCCGAACGGATTTTCTTCTTTATATTATACACGCGCGCACACCGCGAACGAGCGTAACTTAATTTTCACCCCTTCGCCACCCCCCTCCCGCACCGGTCGCCTTGTGTGTGTGTGTGTGTGTATTATAAATCACAAGAACGCCGCGTTTCTCAAGACCACTCTAACCACTCACCCCTCCCCGGAGCGCCAAAAAACAACCCCGTGACCAAAGGGATTAAAAGGCACTCTCACTCGCTATCTTTAACCCTTTTTACTCGGGCGCACACGTTAATGCATATTTAATATTATATTTATACATACACACACACACAAACACACAGCGTGTATATTATAATAAGTTATACGCACATATGATGTATATATTATACATATTATAAAGTATATATACGCCGGGGACTTAAAAAGTTGTCATCAACTTTGGTTTTGTAAACAAAAGGATATATGGGTGTTATCATCATTGTTATCAAATTCCACTCTGGTCGGGATTATTATTTTGTGATCACGCAGGCGCCAACGGTGTATTTTTTTTTAAAGCCGGATTTCTCGTTTTCCCGGACGATTCGAGTTTAACGAGTGGTTTGGAATTAGATTTGTTGTCTCCATATATAACTGTTATTTTACGTGGCGGGCGCCACGTTTATATAAGTTATACATGCTGTGCAATTCTTGTTTGAAATGTGAGAACAAATTCAATACTGTAATTTTAATCGACCTACAGCTAATGCAGCTACTAATCAGATTTTAAGTTTTTGATCGTTAAGATTTTTGGTTTACCTCAATTTTAATTGTTTTATCGTTGAATAAAATATAACTAATAATTATTAATTGGATTTGTATGTTTTATTTTTTTAAATATTTAATCTTCATTAATTCTTAACGGTTATTTGTGTATTTATTTTCTTAGCATATATATATTTCTTCTGTCCGAGTGTAAGTATTCTGCAAACTTCTCCTAGACGGCTGCACCAGTTTTGATGAAATTGTTTGTGTGTGATTGAGTGGGTCCTTGAATGGTTAGGATTCCCCATATTTTAGTTTTAATTATGATTATAATTTATAATCGTTATTCTTTATGATATAGAAACGGTTGAGCGTATATGTATCAATAGGTATTATATTATTATATTTAATATTATTGTGGTCCATCTGTACAATATTGTCGTGAATTTGAATCACGAACCTGACACGTTCGCTCAGGTACATGCGTTTTACACAAGTTATTCCAAAAACACAGTGCGTGCAACAAATGATATTCATGAGCAGCCGTTTTAGTAGTGTTAAAGTCTGCTTTCGTCGCGATCGCATTATACTATAGACCTGCAAATGATATCGAAACACTGGCAATAACGTTACATATAATATTATAGGACGTAATAATATATATTATAAAAGCTCGAACTGACATTTTGCATGTACGCTTCGGTGATTGATGGTTTATTTTCGTCCTCGAAACGTTTTCCGGTCGTCCATCTCGCGTAGTATTGTAGGACTCACGCGTGGAGTCGTAGTCGAACAGAGATTTTAACCGCCACCGTTCGTGTCCTAACCGATATAGTTAGGGTACCTATAATGTGTTTCGGGAACTCGAGTTTTGGACGGCACACAAATCAAAACCTAATATTATAATATTATGTTTCGAGAGCCCCATCTAAAGTAAATTTTAGTTGTTGTTTCTACAGATTTCTTTTCAAAAAACAAAATCTAATCTTCGTGGCATTATAATATGCAGTAATGTTACTCTAAAATCAAAGAGCATCGGTTGACTACTGTAGTCTATGAATTTGCCCAACTAGGGGGGGGTTCTTTAGGTCCTTAGCATCCCCTAATTCAAAATTATCACCCCTTAAAAATCGTTAGGTGTTAGGTATTAATGAATCACAAAAAAACCTGGAGCTTAAGCACCCCCTAGTTCAAATGTCTATAGTTGCGCCAATGAGTCACTTTTTGGTGATCAATTAAAATACATGCATTTATTTATCACTTTTAATCAGAAAATAACTTTCTAGTTCATAATCATGTCAAGTAATTTAACTAAAATCAATAAATTGTTTTACATAAGATACCAAATCATGAAGTTAAATAAATGTTTGGTTACCCATTTGTATACTTAATAAATCAATTATTATCGAATAAACGATTTAGTTGTGTTAATTTTTTTTTTTACTGTTATCTAGTAAAAAACTATTTCAAATTTTTTTATTTACCGGCTTCTTGAATATTTTCATGATTGATACTATCTAACATTATGCGGCATATTATTGTGATACTTTTTAGTGTTTAAAAATCCGTGCTCTACTTATAACCCCAAAAACTACTCATCTCAAATTTGATTTTTATGAATCCAAAGTAGGTACACCAAAAAATATTCTGCTTTCTAATAAAGAATAATACAAATGACCTGCATTTATTTATAAGGCGAAAACTAAAAAAATTAAAACGATAAAAAATTGTAAAAAAAATATTTTCCAAACAATTGTTTGTTAATGGTTTTTGAAATAAAGAGAGTTCGATAAACGAATCTGCACGTGTAAGGTATACATTTGTTTTCTCACCCCGTCCACGTGGTGGGTGTAATGTGTAAGAGTGCATATAGTGATGGAGTGTCGGGGTCGGAGGAAGGGGGTTGTTTGGCGCATATAGTAGTAAAAACTCATCTGTCGTCGGCGAGGGGGTAGGTAGGTCGGTCGCTCGTCGTTATTATTATTATTATTATTATCGTCGTCGTCGTCGTACTCGTAGTCTGCCGGCGTGTGTCGCCGCGAAGGATTAATGCGGTCGGGCGTCTGTCAGCGGCGGTGCGCGCGCGATCCGAAAAGTAATGAAGAAGTTAGCCGACGTGTATAGCCGCCCGGGGCCGCGGCGAGGGGGAGGTGCCGGCGCGCGCGTTGCAGGTTAATAACAAAATCCCATTACGTTTTGTGTCACATCCAAACACAATCGCACGCCGGCCGGACGGGAGACGTGCCGTGGGCGACCGACGACGGTTACCATTACCGTACAGCTACGTGTCGCACGCCAGCACATATATGTACCTATACCCATATAAATTATTATTATACAGGGTGATTCGCCAACCATGCTTACCCCGATTCTTTTCATTAACGTGTTCAAATTCCCTATTTTTAGAATTTTCAACCAACTCCAAGATCATAATATTATTATCAAACTGTATAGAGGTTTTTAGTACCCTACCTACAACTGCACTTTCCAAGAGCGAACCGTGGAATAATTACAAACTTCTGTTTTTCAAACGAGAACCCCGCTTTTCAACTGTAAATTATTTAGTGGATATTTCTTTTTAAAAATGTTTATGAACCTAATTCAAAATTCGAACGAGTAGTTTCTCAGTTATTTATACGTTTATATACTATAAGGATGTCTATAAAAATATGAAATTATTGTAATATTAGATCTAGTTTATTATTCTGATACTTGAACCATTTTTACAAATTTTAAACGTTGATAGATTATAATAACTAACATTTTAAAATACCTGTAAATATGTAAATACCATATCTTCCGATCCCAATATATAAAGGACCTATATTGTACCCTAAGTACACACAGTTGAATAACTCAAATACTACTAGTTCGAATTTTCATTCTGATACGTTAATATTCGTTATTGTGAAATAGGTATATCTGCTAAATTAATTTACATTTCCAAATAGGGGGATTATCATATGAAAAACAGAAGCTTGTGTCTCTATGGGACACTCATTTAGCAGTACAAAAAATCTCTAGAATTTGAAAATATGGTATTTTAATTATTAAAACCAGATGTTGAGTCATTGAAGAAGAGAAAAATGGGACGAGCACGGAACATGCTCGGTGAACCACTCTGTATACATGCTCAACGCTATCGTCGTCATCGGGTCTGACGGCGGCTTTTATATGTTGTTATTATTATTATTATTATTGTCATCGAATTAACGATGACCCGAGCTTGGCGACGTTATCGGGCTCGAAAAGTTTCCGAACCAGTTTTGGACAGTTTTCGTCTCGTTTCATTGTCGTCGCCGCCGTCCTAGCTGCGGTCCAATGCGCACTTCCCGTCCGTTCATCTCACGTCATCCGACGTACACGACAATATAATATAATATATATGTTCAAGGAGGTTATATACGTGTCTGAACAAGCGACGAGGATTTATCGTCTCTGTTCGGCATTCGTTTTAATTCTTTTTCTTTTTCCATTTTACCCGCCACCGTCCTGTTTCGCTTTGAATAAAACTCCATATCGACATATTCTCCGTTTTCACCGCCATGCAATCGTAATTCGACGCAAATGGATTGTATGTTGGTCCACGGGCCCGATGACATTTCTCTGCCACACTCGGTTGGTCTTTTCCTCCCTTTTTTTTTATCCCCGTTACTAGTGACTTTAATACTATTTTTAAATTTTTTTTTTATTTATCGCAACGTGGATTTTAGATTCTATAATAATAGGTAGGTACACAGCATTGGCGTACAAACAAGGGAGGGGGTGTTCAACCTCCCCCCTCGGTATTTTTTTACTAAATATTTATAGACTATAGATATATAAAACATAATAAAATTAAAAAAATATTTTGAAATATAATATATTATAATATTATATACATAAAATATATGCATATAATTTTTTTATATAAACCCTCCCATTGAAAATATTTGTGTACTCAAATGGTATACAGTGTGATTATTTTGACTGTTATCACTCATTATCCCAAAAAGTGTTTACGCATGAATAGTCATTGCAAAACTATTCAATTTTATTACTTTTTTTTTCGTTGTAATCTTTTGAATTTTGAATTTCTTGAATGTAATTGCAATAATTGTCATGTACTTACATTTTTGAAGATACATGTCTGATGAATAAAAACTAATTCCGAACAAATAGTTAATAGTAAGTTAACTTAACTTATACATATAAGCGTTGCTGAGTAGAGTTGTAACTTAAACCACATGGAAAATGTGTGTCTACTACTACTATTAGTACCTAATTAATACAATATATTAGTTTTTAATTTTTATCTATAAATATAAATACGAAATCTTTCGTAAATTTCTTATTTGTTTGTTATGATACGATTTTCCATACTCTGGGAATTTATAACAATTATAAACTGAAAACCCGCAATATTTATATTTCTGGATACTTAAGTTGAAAATTCAAAATCAACTTAATCGGAAATATAAAAATAATATGTGTTGATTTAAACTAAACGTAGAGACAAATGAGTTAAGTTAGTTAAAACAGCTAACTAGTAAGTTAAGTTAACAAGTTAAAATTAACTTCTAACTTATTAACTCGTTAATGCCAATCCTTGCACAAAAACATAATTTCAAAATATCGTGATTATTTTAATTTAATAAAATATTTGTATTGTGAACTAAAAAATTCAATTTTCCAGCCTTATTTCATTGCTTATGCCTTCGTGATTGATTTATCAATTATCTATTTCAACTTTATTTTCGCTATACATATATATATTATCAATGAGTGATTAAAAATTATTGATACCTCTGTTGCAGTAGTTCGTATAGGTATTTTATTAGTTTTAATTTGTTTAAGCTTCGTTTACATCAAGTTGCAGTAACTGTCATTGTAAGGTATATTAGTAAGCATCCGATATGTTGGGGTGGGCATCTTGAAGTTAGTATTTTTGGACTTTCGTCCAAGTAGTGAACATATTCTATAGAACTCTATATTTCTAAAATATAAATAATAAACCTAACAATCTAATAAAACCTGTCGTTAAAGATATATCATTAAAAATATTTCTATGGATAAATGATTCATATTGATATCCATATACTGTAGTCTGTAATAAAGGAAAGGTACCATACTACTTATCATATTAATATATTATATTATAATAAATAAGCAAGTCTGTTTGGGCTTATCGAGCTTATAATAAGTAGGTAGCTCTTTTTAACTGTATAGAGTATTATAATAATATCCGATAAATATATTCTGATAATGTTATCATAATCGATTTTTAGGTTTTTTTCTTTTTTAAATACCGATTTTGCATATTTTGTTAACCAGTAACCACGCGTGTTATTCGTTCGAGGTTTAATTTTTTCTAGATCGATGTAATAATAAAATGTCTCATTAACAACAACAGTGGTTCAGCAGAACATACCTAGATCTGTTTATGAGAAATTAGGGCGATCACCGTAGTTGTAGTTCCAGTGCGGGGTCTATCGAAAGTTACAGACGGTAATGGGTGGAATTACATGACGGCGGCGGCGGTCAATCGACCATTATGGAATCGACGGTAGGACGTAGGTATTCCGAAAATCCCCGAGTACACGACTGTCATAAACCACCTCTCGGTTGACCCGTTCGAGTGGAATTTATGAAACGCCAAAACGAGGGAAAAAAATCGTAACCACCGTCTCCGGGGCGTGCAGGTCGCGGATTAACGTTAAATGATCCGGATAATAGCTTGGAATTTGTTTGGATTTATGTGCGCGTGCGTGCGCGTGTTTGCTAGCGTGTGTGTGTTCGCTTGTAAACTGCGAAGAGGGGTTTTTACCTTTTGTACCATTCCGTCTCTGCACCACATACATAACGTCAAACGGTCCATCCGATTCTCGTAAACATCTTTCCGGCCCCCTCGGCATTGTGTGTGTGCGTATACCGCCGACGCCGCCGCCGCCGTTTGTTCCACCTGCACGGTTTCGCCAAAAAGCACACCACCACCAGACATGGCGTTCCGGAAATAACACTCCGGTAAACGACAATGATTACATTAGCGATAAATTACTCCTCCGCGAGCAGCACGGCAAACGGGACATTATTTGTGCCCAGGCGATTGCCACTTATATGTACATTATATATTATTATATTAACCGGCGCACGTCGTACCTATATATAGCACCCTGCGACGAGTCCAATATCATAATATAATTATATGTCACGGCTACACGTTCAGCACACACATCATTGACGATTGTATATACGTCTTGTCTATTATATGGTTCTATAGCAAGGATTTTATACGCCAACAACTATTACCATACCAGTCTAGGACTGGGATTTCGATACACTTTGCATTGATCTCCAAAGCTCTACGTGATGCCCGTATTAAAATGTATGTTCCCCTACTGGGGAAAATTTCCCAGAACTATTTATGGGTCAGGTGGGTGGGTGATAATAAGTGATCAGTTATCAGTGGTATTTAATACTTAAGGCAGTATACCGTGATTATAATGCCCTATTCGAGAGGTGTAGCTAAACATTTTTTTTTTTTATTAACATCAGCATGAAGGGATCGGCGCCACTGCCTACGGCTCTGGTCCAATGTGCCATCTACAACTGATAATTTACCTATCCCATAACTATACGTAACATTTTATTTTAAGATTTTCACTTAAAAATTTAACTTTGTACTAACAAGGTTTTTGCCGAATCTAATATTATAATTTATTAATTCGAACGGGTCCGCATGGAGTACACATCTAGATCACGAGTGGCGACAGCAAATTAAATGAGAATGCTAATTGATTTTTCAGATTAAAAATCCACGTTCGAAGACTCGAAATTAGCGTCTTCTTAACAAGATTAGGAACAAGAGGTTCACTTTCATTTAAAAGCGATACAACTGAAATTAGTTCAACGAAAAAAAAGAAATAAAAACGATAAATCCGGTAGTTGACAAAGTTTATTAAGTATTAGAATTACTTTAGAATTGTTTACTCCCAAAATGTTATTGTACACCTTAATGGCTTTATTAGATTTCGATAACGGTAATAATATAATTTAATTTAACTTAAATTCGCAATAAATATTAAATTATGTCAAAGTATGCAAATTGCAAATTATGTAAACAGAAATAAGAAAAACACAATTTTTGTCATTAGCTTCTAAATATTACAAAAATATTAAAAGGAAAATAAGTTATGATTGTATAAAAATCTATGCTCTTGATATAATTTATATGATGTAAGCTCATACTATTAGTGATTCCCATATACAGTGTATTTTTAAGCATGCTCATCCTACCTATTTTTATGCTTAAATAATACAAAAGTATATTTAAATTTTGATTTTTGGAATGGATGATTCTGTTATACAAATTTCTGTTCTTCAAATAAGAACCCCGTTTTTCACTTTAAATTATTCAGCAGATATTTTTTTTAAGAATTTTTATGTATCTAAATCAAAATTTGAAAGAGCAGTTTTTGAGTTATGTGTATTAAGGATAATATGGTAATGGGTCAAGTAGATTTGGAGTTTAGATGATTTTAAAATTTTAGTAACTAGTATTAATCTATCAATATAAATAGTTTGTGAAAATTATCCAAGTAATGATATTATTGAATACCTAGAACATCTAATATTAAATTTAGATTAAATTTTTGTAAAACCATATTTAACGATTATTATCCTTAGTACAAAATTTAAATAACTGAGAAACTACTTATTAGGATTTTGATTTACATACACCAACATTTTGAAGAAAATTACCTGCTAAATTATTTGCAGTATAGGGGAGGGGGTTCTCATTTGAAAAGTAGATGTTTACATCGCCACAGGATATTTTATGAAGTACAAAAAGTATCAGGAATTTGAAAATATGGTCATTATGTATATTTAAAAATTCTAAAAATCAAAATTTAAATAAATGTAAGATTAAGGGAAAAATGGGGGTGACCATGATTAAAAAACCATCCTGTATAATTATATACACGTCCAAACCCCATCGTACACAAGAGTTGTGCATCGATTTGCATCACCAGCATATAATAATATTATTACTTTATGGTAGCAATGTCTTATATTATGCAGAAAATAAGTTTTGCAAAAAAAAACCAAGGTTAAGCTAATTAAGTTAAGTTAATCAGTTTGACATACGAACATCCCGCCATATTTTAATCAACAGTTGTAATGTGTTTTATAAATTATATTAATAACTATACACCTATTATTATTATTTGTATTCGTTTCTTCTCTCCTGAACTTAATGATAAAAAACTATATTTGTTCAACTTATATTTAAACATATTCAAGTATTCAACATTATCATAATATTTAGTTCATAAAAAATATAGGTTTACCTCAATAATGAAATATTTATTTTGAAATAGTCTTGACTTTTAGAAAATTAGCATTTAAAATGATGTGTGGGTGCCTAATGCGTTTCCCTTGTTATTTAAATCCATCCATAAATTTTGTTGGTAAAAAAAATTATTTAGATAATATAATGTTCCTCATTTATAAAAATAAAACGAAATATTATAACAGTTTCAAGTCTAAGTTTTAAATTTAAACGAGCTAAATAAGTGCTGGAGGTCGCTACCAGGTAACACCTCCAATCCTCAAATGAATT